GGACTTCGAGATGACTTAGTCCAAACCTATCATTTTACAGAAAGGGTAACTGAGAACACAAAGGAAGTAACTTGTCCTGCGTTGTACTACTAGTAAGTAACAGAACTGGAATCCAAATTCAGGTCTAGTCTTGCTACAATGTTAGTCTTTCTTTTTTTTTTTTTTGGCAATTGGAGTTAAGTGACTTGCCTAGGGTCACACAGCTGGTGGTAAATGTCAAGTATTTGGTCTGAGGTCACATTTGAGCTCCAGTCCTCCTGACTTCAGGGCCAGTGCTCTATCTACTGAGCCACCTGGCTGCCCCCATTCTCAGTCTTTAGGCCAGGAGTGGGGAACCGGCAGCCTCAAGGCCACGTGTGGCCCTCTAGTCCACATGTGGCCTTGAGGCTGCAGGTTCCCCACCTCTGTTCTAGGCCTATCCATGTCCTGTGGTTTCCATGCTTTTTTTGGGATAATATTGATAGACTATCTCTTCCAGCCCTATTTACAGACCAACTCCCCATTACTTTTGCTACAGAATGGGTATCCCTTGTGGCACCACGTTCTATTTGAAAGGCTGTGCTCAACTGAAAATTCTTGGGCCCAATTAGATCCAATTAGATATTTACTTCTTTGTCAGCTACTGGCTGTACCCACTCACAGTAAGAGAAGGTCCATTTCATCAGATATGGACCCTTTGATGCCTGGACACTCTATATTCTACCAAGGAAACTGGGTCACAACCCCCAGCCCAGAGAATCTGCAAGTGCTTTATCAAGCATAACCCCATGTTGTTTTCCCAGGGTCAAAAATCTGGTAAAGTCTGGATTTAAACTTTGGTCTTCCGATTCCAAGACCAGAGCTCACAGCTCCCCTAAGGCTGTATACAAGGAAAGGGCAATGTTTTCTTTTTGGTGTCCAGACTAGAAGCAAAACTAGGCATAGGCAAAGTAGATGGTTGACCAGGGTGCAATATGTAGGACGATGGTGGTTGAAAAAAGAACACTTTTTCATATTTCTTTTTATAGACACATAAACATATATAGATATAGATATTTAGAGAGACAGAGAGGCAGAAAGACAGAGAGAGAAGAGCAGTGCTTGGCTTAGAATAGACACTTAATAAATGTTGATTGACTGACTGATTGACATGTATTTGTAATACCAGAAAACTCGGGGCTTCATGGCGGGTTTTATAGAAGTAGCAGCACAGTGTAGTGGAATGAGCACTAGATTGCCAGATTGCCAGACTAGAGTTCTGGCACATGGGCAAGGTTGGATAAATGCTTCTTAATTGAATGCCCAACTGTCACTAACTATAGTAGCTGAGTAACACTGGACAGGTCACCCTATAATACCTGTAAAGCACTTAGAACAGTGCCTGGCACTTAAAAGGAGCCTAATAAATGCCTGTTTCCTTCCCTTCCTCCCTCCTTTTTTTCCTTTCATCCTTCCTTTCTTTTCTCCTTCCCTCCTTCCTCCTTTCCCTCCTTCCTTCCTTTGTTCCTTACTTCCTCCCTTCCTTCTCTCCCTCCTTCCTTCCTTCCTACCCTCCCTCCTTCCTTCTTTCCTTTCTTCCTTCCTTTCTTCCTTCCCTCCCTCCCTCCCTCCCTCTTTTCTTCCTTCCTTCTTTCCTTAAGAACAGTCAATGCTGGGCAACAGTCAATATCTGTGGACATCTGACCTAGCAAGAGAACATCTAACCCACTAGACTAAACACAAGAAATCAATGGGACTGATAGGACTAGAAATAAAGGGTCCAAGCACTCTGGATGAGTCTCCTGAGACACAGGCACCCTTGACAGTATCTCTCCACTTTCCCTTACACTTTTAGTCAGTCAGTCATTAAACATTTATTAAGCACCTACTGTGTGCCAGGCACTGTGCTAAGTGCTAGGGGTACAAAGAACAGTAAAAGCTAGTCCTTGCTCTCAAGGAACTTATAATATAATGGAGATGACAGCATGCAAACAATTATGTACCCACAAGCTATCTATATATACAGGATAAGCTGGAAATCATCAACAGAGGGAAGGCCATGGTATTAAGATTGGAAAAGGCCTCCTGTAGAAGGTGGGATTTTAGCTGGGATTTGAAGGGAGCCAGGAAAGCCAGGAGGCAGAAAAGAAGGTTCTGATCCACTCAATGACCTTGAAGAGTTAGCTCTCCTAGGAGAACTGGTATTTCAAACAAGAACAAAGCCTGAAGCCAAAGGAATAAAATTTAAATAGTAGAATTTCAGACATCAGTTAGCAGGGGGTGAGGATTTTTTTAAAAAGTCACTGTAGATGGTAAATCATTGGATCACGAATTTAGAGACGGAAGGGACCTCAGAGGACATGCAGTCCAGCCCTTCATTTTGTAGATGGGTAGACTGAGGCCCAGATCTGGCAACTAGAAACAGAGGCAAGTTTCAAACGAATTCAATTCAACGGATTGAACATTTTATTTTAAAGGGCTCGTGTGTGAATGGGCAGCTAGGTGGCGCTGTGAAAAGAATGTCGGGCCTTGGAGTCAAGAAGACTCATCTTCCTGAGTTCAAATCTAACCCTCAAATATTTCCTAGCTGTGTGACCCTGGGCAGGTCACTTTACCCTGTTTGCCTCAGTTTCCTCATCTGTCAAATGATCTGGAGGAGGAAATGGCAAATCACTTCAGTATCTTTGCCAAGAAAACCCCAAATGGGGTCACAAAGAGTCAGACAAAACCAAAACAACCGAAGAGCAACACAGGCACTGTATAGTACCTATAATGTGCCAGGCACTGTGCTAAGCACTTGACAAATATTATCTCATTTGAGCCTCATGATAACCCCGTAAGGTAGATGCTATTATGGTCCCAACTTTATAGCCGGTAAAACCGAGGCAGAACTGGGGCTAAGTTGACTTCCCCAGGTTATATGGCTATTAAGTGTTTGAAAGCAGGATTTTGAACTCAAGTCTTCCTGACATCAGGGCCAGCAATCTATCATCCCCTCCACCTCGATGCTCATTGAGTGCCTGCTGTGTGTTTAGCCCTGAGCTAGGCTGCAGAGCAGCAGAAGTTAATGCCCTTAGGGAGTTTGTAGGTTATTTGGTGGGGAAAAGGCCCCTGTACAGAAGTGACATCGGGAGAGAACAGTTTAGAGCTGAACTGTATATGGGCTCCTTCCCTAGATGTAGCTGCAGAATGTGATGTCGATGGACAAACAGCTGGACACAAGAGAGGGCGAGGGAAGCTGGGCAGTGTTCATAGGGTGAATCCCCCTTCCTTCTCCCTGGTTTGCCCTTTCAGAGGGCAGGGCCTATGGTTGTGGCTCCAAACTCAGGCAAGTATAGTGAAAAGAAGATTTCATCCATCGCTTTTCAATACAACAAACACTTACTAAGAAACTGCCCCTTAGGAGGCACTGTGCGTAGATAGAGGCCCTGCCCTCGAGGAGCTTTTGTTCTAATGGGGAATTTGAAGTCTAGTGGACTGGAAGACAGAAGAGTTGAACTAGATGATTCCTGAGGTCTCTCCCAACTCTGAGATTCTATAAACTTCATTTCCTCTTGCCATTTTACTAGCTATGTGAATTTGAACAAGTCGCTTAAGATTACTGTCTCTGAGCCTCCGTTTTATTATCTGTATAATGGAGATTGTCACGGTTGTTGTTTAGTCATTTTTTCAGTTGTGTTGACCCTTTGTGACCCCATTTGGGATTTTCTTGGCAGAGATACTGGAGCAGTTTGCCATTTCCTTCTCCAGCTCATTTGACAGAGGAGGAAACTGAGGCAAATAGAGTGAAGTAACTTGTCCAGGATCCCACAGCTAGTAAGTGTGGGAGGCCAGATTTGAACTTAGGAAGACGAGCCTTCCTGACTTCAGGCCTGGAACTCTATCCACTGCACACCACCTAGCTGGGAAATATTTCATAAAATAAATAAAAATACAATAGAACATAGATAATGTTAAATTTTGTTTTTCTAATTCAATAGGCAGCCTGTAGGGATCCTTATGCACAGTTTAGTGTTCCCGACACCTACCTCCCATTAGACTTGTAATCAGGCAGATCTGAGTTCAAATCCAGCCTCAGTCACTTATTTTTTGACCTTAAGCAAGTCATGTAACTGCTCTGGACCTCAATTTTCTCATCTATAAAATGAGGGAGTTAGATTCAATGACTTCTGAAGTCCTTTCCAGCTTAGAATCTAGGATGCTATGAACTGAAAAGATGTATATGAAATGGATCTGTAAACTTGAATGTGCTATAGAGACGCTGGCTATTATGAATGTCTTTTTTAGGTGAGGGAAGAGAAGAGAGATGGACTTTTGTTGTTCATTTGTTTCAGTCTTGTCTGACTCTTCATGACCTCATCTGGGGTTTTGTTGGCAAAGATACTGGAATGGTTTGCCATTTCCTTCTCCAGTGGATTAAAGCAATCAGAGGTTAAGTGACTTACCCAGGGTCACACAACTACTAAATGTCTGAGGCTGGATTTGAACTCAGTTCTTCCTGACTCCAGGCCCAGGGCTCTCTGTCACTGAGCCACTGGCTGCCTCATGAGATGGATTAGGAAGTCTATATTGAACACCTACTATATGTTCAAGACTGTGCTAGGAGACAAAAAACAACCATCGTTTTAAAATTCTGTTTTGTTCTGAGCACTGGAAACGGGACATTTAGATAGAGGCGTGGTAGCTACCCCCAGGTAGCTGACAGTCTGATAGGGGATGAGGCACCAACTGTAATATGCAGCATCACACGATAAGCATATTAGAGAGGGCCTAGCAGAGTGTTCTGTGACGTCTGAGAGCTAAGAAATGTGATGTCAGGAATATGGCAAGATGGGGTTCTTGCCCTCTGGGTCCTTGGAACTTTGTTGGCCGTTTTGGAAGAGCTCCCTGGAGTAAGTTTTGGGGGAGGAAGAAGAATCCAGCCCTGCAAGGGTTAAGACTACGAGCTATCTCTGTGGTCTGAGGTAAGCAGGGAGAGTATTTGTTCAGGTAAATAAGGAAGGATTACTTATAATGGGAAATCAGGCTCTGACCCAACACTTCATCTCCCGGCTCTGCTGACTTCCTTCCAATACATACCTGTACACCACCCTCTCCCAAGCTGCCCCGACAGCTCGGTCCCCCAAGCTGGGCACTGCTCCCCTCCTACCCACCGGGGGCTGGGCATAGCCACAGCCCTGCAAGGTGGCACTGGACAGGGGGCAGGTGGCACCTTGAAGACAGCACTGCCTTTAGTCAGAGCACCTGTCTCCCTTTCCTTTCTGCTACCCGATCTTGGGCACCCCACATAGGGTGGCATTGTCCACTGTGCCACACCCCATCACTGCCTTTGTCTCCCGCCTTGTCCCCCCTATTCGAAGTCTGCTCTCCTAATGCCCGGCTGAGGCAATCTAGCACCCACAGCTGCCCTCACCTCTTCCTTGCCTCTGGGACTGGTGCCGCTGCTCCTGAGTCCTCCCTGGACACGGGACATCTAACGGGTAAGTCTGGCACAAAATGACACAGATCACCTTGCCTTGGTTCTTCTCCTAGGCAGCTGAGTCTTCTTCTCTGGGGGTCCTAGGAGAAAGGTCGGGAGTGGTGTTCATTCCTGGAGGACCCCAGAACATGGATGGAATTTATTCTGAATTTTCAGTCTTAACTTCAGTCTTAACTTCACCTGGGGGGTTTAGAACCTTGTTCCCTAATCTTCTGGGGGCCGTGCCCACTTGTCCATCTCTGCAACTCCCACTGTCCAATGCCAGGTGCAGAGAATAGGAAGAACTGCTAGAAGATACAGTCCCTAATAGCACGAACGTGGCAAGTGGCTGATGCCATCCACACTTGGCACGGTCCTGATGGAGGAGGGGAATCCCCTTGCTTTCCCTCACCCTTCCCCTGCACTGTGCTCTCTCCCAGCTTTTCACCCTCTGAGCTTGGGCAGGGGTCAGTTTAGGGAAGTGTCTTCAGCCCAGTGAACCCCCTAATATATGGCTGTTTGTGCTCATACACCAAAACACAAAACACAAACAGTTCTTCTGCTGCCAGGATTACCCCAATGCCCTCTTTCTGTGCTCAGAACATCCCTCTGAGATCAGACCTTCGGGGAGGGTTAACCCCAGATGGCTTCAAGTTCTGGGGCTCCACATATGTTTGTACTTCTCATTCTTCAGTGGCCACAGCTTAAAGCTGGACAGAGGGGGAGAAAAGAACACAAAAGGCCCAGGATCCAGCCATGGCAAAGGGATCCAGCTGGGAAAAAGCAAGGGCATGGAGGCAGGAGAGTGGGGAGTTAGGGTGGGGACAGAGGATTAAGGCAGCGTGGACATGGAAGGCAGTGGAGGAACAGCTGCAGGGTAAAGTACTTGGCCATGTGGGGTTGTGGGCATAGCAGGGAGGTGGAGCCAGTGGGGACTGTCTGTATGTTTTACTAGGCATTTGCATACAGAGGGTTTGGTGAAGGATTTCCCCCTCACCCCTACCCCTTCTTCCAAGCTTAATTTCTATTTTTAAATTCCAAGATTTGCAAGATATATCCCCACGGGGAGTGGAAGGATTGTAGAACATCGGGGTGGGGGTGGAGGAGGAGGAGGAGGAAGAGAAGGAGATGGGGGTCGTAGAGAAACAGCTAAGGGGAGAGAAGGCAGGAGAACGGATGAGATTTTCTGGGAACTGAAGCTGGGGTGGTGACAGGGATGGATGAGAAGAGTGGCCAGAGGGGCAAGAGAATAGGAAAAAAGAAAGGTAAGGTTGGAGAAGGGGAGGAGGAAAGAAGTAAAATAAGGCAAGAAAATGAAGGAAGAAGGAAACGTGAGAGAGGAGAAGAAGAGGCGAAAGGAGGGGAAGCTGAAACTATATCTTATTTATATTTCTGGTGTGTGGCCCATAGCAGGTGCTTAAGTGTCTGTTGAATTGAATCCCCAAGGGAAAGGTGTAGGTAGGGGTGAAGGATGGACTTAGCAGAAGAAGGGCTAGAGTCAGGGTAAAGAGGCTGGAACCAGGTGCTCTACTGGGGGTGCGGTGAGATGGATGTAGATCAATTAATGGAGTCTTGAGGGAATCCTGCCTTGGGATGGGGGTCAGTCCTTATCTCCAGAGATCCCAGGTAAGAGAGTGATGGTGGAGCTGGGCTGGAGGTTTCTCTCACTCAGAGTCAAACGCAATAAATAAATGCCTTGCAGCTTCCTCCCTTAGGCTCTGACCTCCCAAGCCACCCCACCCCACCCCACTCCACCCCCCTCAATTCCCGTCCTTTCTCTTATTCCTTAGTTCCATGGCCCTGGCTGGGCCTTCGCTCTCATTTCCTGCTGTGCCCCCCAATAAACCTTTTTCTATCACCTCCCAATAAACCCCAGCTCCCCAGCACCAGCTGCCCGCTGAGTAACAAAGCAAATAGGCTAGCACAGAACTGTCCCCAGTCTGGAAGAGATAAATCTTATGGACCCTGGCCTGCCCACCGCAGAATGTCAGGGAGGAGAGACAATCCTGGGACAGGCCACAGCCTTGCGTCAGTGACTAGAGGGGTGGGATCGTAGGCTGGGCCCCACCATCCTCTACACCTGAATTTCAGTGGACAGTTCTACCTTCTAGGCATCCCGGGAGGTGAAAGAAGGGAGACCAGGAGAGATCTCTAGGTCTGGGATTCAGATTCAGTATAGATTTCCCTGCCTAGGGTCTACAGCTCAGTCAATTAATGAACAAGTATTCCAAATTTTTGTTGAGGCTTTTCTATTCTGTGGTAGGCACTCCAGGGGATGGGTGCTGGAGCACTGGCCTTGGAATAAAGAGTTGACTTGGTTTCAAGTCTTGGCTCTGACATTTATTACTTATGTGGCCACTTCACCTCGATAGGACTCAGTTTCCTTATCTGTAAAATTAGGGCTTTGGACTAGATCAGTGGTGTTGAACTTAAATAGAAACAGCAGCCACTAATCCACACATAAAGATCCCTGTGAGTGGCGTATTGACTTAGTTTTTAAAATATGATGTTATCTATGGTTTATTGTATTTTTATTTATTTTTAAGAAATATTTCCCGATTATGTTTTAATCTGGTTCCTGTAGCGCTTGGGAATATTGTGGGCTGTTGTAGGCTTGACATCTCTGGAGTAGGTGAACCCTAAGTCTTCTTCTAGGTGGTGCTATAGTGCATAGAGCGCCAGGTCTGGAGTCAGAAAGACTCCTCTTTGTGAGTTCAAATCTGGCCTCAGACACTTACTAGCTGTGTGACCCTGGGCAAGTCACTGAACCTTGTGCGTCTCAGTTTCCTATCTGGAAAATGAGCTAGAGAAGGAAATGGCAAACCACTCCAGTATCTTTGCCAAGAATGGGGTCATGAAGTAGGGGTCGTAGTGGATAGAGTGCTGGGCCCAGAGTCAGGAAGAGCTGAGTTCAAATCAACCTCAGACAGTTAGTAGCTGTGTGATCCTAGACAAGTTGTTTAACCCTGTCTGCCTCAGTTTCCTCATCTGTAAAATGAGCTGGAGAAGGAAATGGCAAACTATTCCAGTGTCTTTGCCAAGAGAACCCCTAAAATGGGGTCATGAAGTAGGGTCATGAATGGGTCATAATGGATAGAGTGCTAGGCCTGGAGTCAGGAAGACCTGAGTTCAAATCAGCCTCAGATGTGTACTAGCTATGTGACCCTGAATAGTTCGCTTAACCCTGTTTGCCTCAGTTTTCTCATCTGTAAAATGGGGGTAATAATAGCATCTATCTCCCAGGGTTGTTATGGGAATCAAATTAAATAATATTTGTTAAGTGTTTACCATAATGCCTGGCATGTAATAGGGGCCATATAAACGTTTTTCCCTTCCCTAAATCTGTGGTTCTTCAAGCCTCAGTTTTCTCAGCTGTAAAACCTACCTGATAATAAACCTACCTCACCAGGTGACAGATTTAGAGCTTGAAGGGGACTTTAAAAAGATCATTTTTAGGACCAGAGAAACTGAGACCCAGAGAGGTTAAGAGCTTTGCCCAAGGTCACACAGCTAGCAAGTGGCCAAGCTGAGATTTGAACACAGGTCCATCCAGGATCCTTGTCAGGTTTGTTTTTTGTTTTGTTTTTGCTTTTTTGGTTAGGCAGTGGGGTTAAGTGACTTGCCCAGGGTCACACAGCTAGTAAGTGTTTTGTGTCTGAGTCCAGATTTGAACTCAGGTCCTCCTGAATCCAGGGCCGGTGCTCTATCCACTGTGCCACCTAGCTGCCCCTCATTATCAGGTTTATGAAGCTCAAATGTGAAAATGTGTGTAACATTTTGTTACATGGCCCATAATGGAACACGCTTTGCTTGACTATACATATTTGTTATGAGGGTTTTCTTTTTCCTTTTTTAATTGGAAGGAAGAGAGAGAGAAGAGGGGAGAGAAATAAGTGCTTGTTAATTGAAAAACTTTAATTTCTTTAAAAAAAGGTGTGTCAAGCACTTTGCAAAGTTTAAAGTTCTCTCTCTCTCCCTCTGTGTATATATGTATATACGTATGTATGTATTATGCCTTTAGTGATTATTATGAGAGATGCCTACAAGAGATACTCAAACACTATCTCCTGCAGGAATCCTTTCCTGATCTTTTCCCCCAGTTGTAAGTGCCTCCCCTTCCCTCAAAATTTGTTGTTGAACTTTCAGTCGTTTTTCAGTTATATCTGACTCTTTGTGACCTCATTTTTGGGGTATTCTTGGCAGAGATACTGGAGTGGTTTGCCATTTCCTTCTCCGGCTCATTTTACAGATGAGGAAATTGAGGCAAATAGGGTAAAGTGATTCATCCAGGGTCACACAGCTAGTAAGTGTCTGAGGCTGGATTAGAACTCATGAAAAGGAGTATTCCTGCCTCCAGGTCCAGTACTCTACCCACTGCACCACCTAGCTGCCCATTCTCTCTAAATTATCTCATGTTAATTTTGTAAATGTTTCATGTCCACTTCTAATATCCATGTTGTCAGCCCAGGTAGAATGTGTGTCTGGAGCTCAAATGAGCCTCTCTCTCAGCTTTGTGTGGGACTATAAAATTATAGGAACCATTTCTAATTCAAAGACATTCACATGCATTGTTTGGGCTATTTAATTCTTATGGTCATCATAGCCCCAGTGTCTGGCACAATCCCTTAATTTTACAGATGCGGAAACTGAGTCCCATCAAGGTTACGTGGATGCCAAATAATAACTGTCAGAGCCAGTAAGGCACCTAATAAATGCTGATTGATTAATCCTATAATCATAAGAGCATCAGAATTGGAAGGGACCAGAACAACTACCCAGTCCAAATCCTTTATTTTACAGAGAAGGAAACTGAGGACCAAGGATGCCCAATTCACTGAACATCATGCAGTGGGTCAGTGACAGTTAGGCTTAAAGTCCTGGCCTCCCACCCAGGGTCTCTTCTCCCATAATTACCCACCTTTCTATGATGCTTCTTTCACTGGTAACCAAATTCTGAATAGCCAGAAGGGTATGAGGCCAGTAGGTGGTACAGTGCATAGAATACTGGGCCTGGAGTCAAGA